GTTCTCATACTGGGTGGCACGGAATGTATGGGGGGGGACACATGAGAAGCTTTAGCAGAGGGAAATTGCACACATTCAGAGCTAGGTGGCTGGAGAGCAGTGGCTGCTGGTTGGGCACCCAGCTCTGAAGGTAGCACCACCCCTAGCAGCAGCAGAGAAATAAAGGTGGGATGGGATTGCCACCCTTACTTCTGCACTGTTGCTGGCAGCAGTGGTGCCTTCAAAGCTGGACACCTGGCCAGCAGCCACCACTCCCTGCTCTGCCTTTAGAGCTGGGTACCAAGGGAGGCAACTGTTGGCTAGGTGCCGCAGGGGGAAAGGCATAATCTAGTACAGACACAAAGAAAGGGGGGGGGGTGATTAAATAAGTTTGAGAACCACTGTCTTGGAGGTCCCATGGCACGTACAATACTGCTGGGGATGTGTGAAACACCTATCTCACACTTAAGCCCCAGCAAGCACCTCAAGCCCAGAGAAGATAGCTATTACCCTACCTATCTTGCCTGCAGGACCTGATCTGGTAAGTGACCTCTGAGCACATGTACTGGATCATCGGACCATATAAGACTCCAGAGGAGTTGGTGCCTCCCTTGTAACCTTTTGTCTAGTTAGTGGTTATAGCTCTCACCTGAGGTATCAGCGATCTTGGTTCAAATCCCCTCTCTGCCTGATGGGCAAAAAGGATTTGAGCCGGGGTCTCTGACCTCTTGAGAAGTGTCCTAACCATCACTGTGGAACAGCTTCAACAGGAGAGACTGAAAAAGACACGCTCCCATCAGAATATCTTATAGCCTATGGTTAGGACACTCCCAAGAGGTGGGACTGGAAGTCCCATCTTCAGATCCTTTCATCCCAGTAAGCAGGGGGAAAAATGAAGCTGGGTCTCCTCCATCCCAAGTGAGTGCTCTAACTTGATCTGGGTACTTTCACAATGTAGATACACCCTTAGCTTGGGGGTGGGGGAGGCACATACACCCACATCACCCATTTCATAGGGGTTCTTCCTCTACAAACACAGGGAAGGAGAGCATTCCCACCGCATCATAAACATAGGTTGACTTACTACTGTTATTTGTACTATCCCTATAACACCTGTGCATCAAAATCTTTTCTCTCCTATTCAAATGTGATTTGCAACCACCTCCTACCCCAAAATTCATACACAGGCTTCCCCCAACCTTCCCTAAAATTGAAACTCTACAATTTGAAGTCCTCTCCTAGGATTAAACTCTAGCAGACTTGGGTACAAGCAAACAACCTTCCAAATGAATTGTACATAGCCCCTTTCACAGACATATAACAACTATTTAAGGAGCATTATCTCTGTTTTTAAGCAACATATTTACCATTCTTCTGCTTTGTTCCTCCATAAAGCTCTCCTAGCTGAATGTGTCTCAACAGAGTTAAAAAAGCATGTCTGTTTTCCCCCCAGATGTGTCTATTTATGTAATTTAAATGTTTGTAGGTGTGTCTCCATCATCGTTGGTGCCTAAGATTAAAGGAAAACTGTTGGGTAGTTTAGAACCCAAATTTAGTGTTTAGAGGGGAAAGGGTTCTAGAAAACGTATTGTTAACAAGCGTTTTAATTCATTTTCTTCTACATTTTGTTTGGATTTAAACTTCCCCCTACAATGTTTGCCACCCTGACACACCCTGCCTCCCTCGGCACCCAGCCCCCACTGAGCCCCAGCCACCTTCACCTGGACCCCCCCCCACAGATTCCGATTCCCACTGCACCCTGAACCCCCCCAATGAGCCCCTGTGCACCCAGGTCCCCAATCCCCCCGCATTTGGACCCCACACTGAGCAGCCCAAACCAAGACTGCCCCACACAGAACTCTCTCACCTCACACTTGGATCCTCCCACACTAACCCTTCCTCCATACTTGGATCCTGCCAGGCTAGCCCCACACCTGGATTGTGGGGCAGGGCTGGAGATGCGTGCAAGATTCTGTTCCTCTTGCTCACTATCTTGGTGCACCTGGCATGGAGGGGCAGGGGGCAGGCTTCAACAATACATTTGTTTGATGTGTGTATTGCATGTGCTGAAGAAAACCATGATTACTGGACAGGGTCTGTTTTTTGCTGAGAAAACATCTTAGACTTATTTTATTGAACAACAACAAAAGGTAGTAGCCCTTCCATCCCAGGAGAACAGGGTGTATTTCTTTCTAAAAATATAGGGAAAGAGAAAATCCGATCTATCAGTCTTTCTGAAAGACATATTTTGACATATGTCATATAAGGATTTCATTTCAGTTTAGTAAGGTTAATAAATAGAAAGTGGTTATTAAAAATGAGATTAACTCTGTGGCAAGTGATGGAAGCAGATCTGCTTCATGCAGGATACGTGTGCCATAAGGAGAACTTATGTGCAAGATAGAGATCTCAGTTTGGAGTGGGCTGTACAAATCGTGTTTTGTTGATGTTGATTTCCCTTTTCTTCTCCTCCTGCATGTTTGCCTGGAGTTTGGGGAATAAACTGAAAGCTGAATTCAACTGAAGTTCATCTGATTTCAGGTCCTCATACACAAATGGATCCAGGTTCACTCACTGGACACCCAAGTGGAGCAGTTGTGTGGAATAGGGATGGAACCAACAGGTATCTTTAGAAACATCACGGGGCTCTATAGCCTCTTCTAGTTCCTATAGAAAGAGCTAGAGGTCAAAGGGCAGGTCTACCCAAGAAATTTGCATCAGCGCAGCTGCACTGATGTAGCTGTAGCACGTCTGGGGAGGATGTTTTAAGCCGATGGAAGAGAGAAGCTCTCCTGCCGACATAGCGCAGTCGACACAGGGTGGGTTAGGGTCAATATAACTATGTCAGTCGGGTTGGATTTTTCACATCTTTGAGTGATGTTGTTATACGTCAGTAAGGGTGTAGTGTAGACCTTGCCAAAGACTCCTGTGCCTTTAGTGGGAATTAGATCAAGCACCTTGAGAAATTACTCTAAAAAACTATATCGAGGATATAATTTTCTATTACATTCCATAGCAGAGATGGGCAAACTACAGCCCACGGGCCACATCCAGCCCTTGAGTTCCCAGTCGGGGAGGCTAGTCCCCAGCCCCTCCCCCACTGTCCACACGCCACCAGCACTCTGGCCCGCCACTTCTGCTGGGTGGCGTGGCTGCGAGCTCCTGCTGCTCTGAGAGGCATAGTAAGGGAACAGGGAATGGTGGGGGGATGGGGTTTGGATAAGGGGCAGGGGGTTTTGAGGGGCAGTCAGGGGACAGGGAGTGGTTGGATGGGGCGGGGCAGTCGGGATTGGGAGCAGGAGGGGTTGGGTAGGGGGTGGGGGGGGCAGGGGACAAGGAGCAGGGGGGTTGGATGGGTCAGGGGTTCTGAGGGGGCAGTCAGGGGGCGGGAAGTGGGAGGGGCTGGATAGGGGGCAGGGGCCAGGCTGTTGGGGAGGCACAGCTTTCCCTACCCGGCCCTCCATACAGTTTTGCACCCTGATGTGGCCCTCGGGCCAAAAAGTTTGCCCACCCGTGTTCTATAGGATGATGCAAAACATCTATGGAAAAGTGACTCTGTGACCTTTAAAAGTTTTAATTTAATTAAAATATTACTCTGTTTAAATTAGGTCCATCAAATTATTTTACTATATCTAAAACCAAGAAAAGCTAACAGAAGGGAAAGACAATTGCGTCTACATTAAGATAAATACAGTATTTCTATATTAAGACAATATTTATGTAACTCTAAAACCAGGGAGACATGATTCATAGTTACATGAAAGTGTCTGGTTCTGTTTATTCAATAATTTGTTTTTATGTTAATGTTGATTTTTAACTGGTAGCTGGTAAACATGGCAAATAATTAAGTTAAAATTTTAAAAAGGGTGATTACATAAATGAACATAAACTGTATTTGTGATTTCAAGTACATTGTAATTTAACTACCACTAACAATTGGTAAATCCAGAAATTAGACTGATTCATATTAAGCCCCTTGCCCCCCCAAATATAGAAGTCAGATTATGCCTATGATCCTCCTTAACCCACACAGCAAAGCAAGCAGAAAGGAGGTACTACTTCCCCTTTAAGGGGAATGAGCATTTGTACTTTCACTATCCCCGACATTTCTTGGTGGTGGTGGTAGCTGCTACGAATGGGAGAGATGACACGAAGCACTGATGCTAAAAGGCAAAAATGTGAAGAGGCTGGACTTGTTTGGATGCAATCTTCATTCTACAGGTAGTCTGCAACTCAGAATTGCAAACCAACAGGGACTCGTGAGCACTATGACTTCATCTTCTGGGAGAACATTCTAAAATTTGCAGTAATGGTGGATGAGGGCAAGCCAGTTGCCAGAACTGCTATCCAGGACACTTTGGAGGATGTAAATGCAGCCCAATCTCAAGATCTGCTGAAAAGAAAGGGCAAGGGTTATAGGAAATAACATCCGCCACCCTCTTTTTCAGCATCAGTGTGCTCATCCCATCCAGCCATCTCGTTCAAACAGACATTTTGTTTCATTGGTCAAGGGCAATGTATCAGTTACTCTAGTTCCATCTGTTTCCCACCTTTTGTTTACAGATCACTTACCCACTTCCTGAGTGCTTAGACCGACATAACATCGGATTTGTGGGTCTTAAGGATGGTGGAACTAGGATATGCCCTGTGACAGGTTCAGTCACAGAGATCCCTTTGGGACTGTCACCTGACGTGCTGAGATTATCTCTGAGCCCGTTTTCCCTGCCAGCTTGGGACTCCAGAACCCTGCCTTATTGAGCCAGACACGCTAGCCTGCTGCAACACAGACCCAGGTCTGAACCACGCTCCCAAAGCTGCAGACTTTAACTAAAAACTGCTCAGCAGGTTTCCTATCTCCAGCACCCAGACCCCAATGGGATCCAAACCCCAAATGAATACGTTTTACTCTGTATAAAGCTTATTCAGGGTAAACTCATAAATTGTCCTCTCTCTGTAACACTGATTGAGAGATATGCACAGCTGTTTGTCCCCCCACGTATTAATCACTTACTCTGGGTTCATTAATGAACAAAAGTGATTTTATTAAGTATAAAAACTAGGATTTAAGTGGTTTCAAGTAATAGACAGAACAAAGTAAGTCACCACGCAAAATAAAGCAGAAACACACAAGTCTAAGCCTAATACATTAAGAAACTGATTACAGGTAAAATCTCACCCTCAGAGATGTTCCAATAAGCTTCTTTCACAAACTAGACTCCTTCCTAGTCTGGGCCCGATCCTTTCCCCTGGTAGAGTCCTTGTTAGTTCCAGCAGACATCTTAGGTGGAAAGCAGGGGTGTTCTCATGACTGGCCACCTCCTTTGTTCTGTTCCACCCCCTTTTATAGCTTTGGCACAAGGTGCGAATCTTTTGTCTCTCTGGGTCCCCACCCCTCCTTCTAACTGGAAAAGTACCAGATTTAAGATGGATTCCAGTATCATGTGACACGGTCACATGTCACTGTAAGACCTCATTCTTCATTACCCACGGGCTGGCCCACACGTACACAGAAAGGCTTGCAGGTAAATAAACCATCTACAACCAATTGTCCTAGTCAATGGGAGCTATCAAAATTCTAAACCACCATTAATGGCCCACACTTTGTATAGTTACAATAGGACCTCAGAGTTATACTTCATATTTCTAGCTTCAGAAACAAGGATGATACATGCATACAAATACGATGAACACATTCAGTAAATTATAAGCTTTGTAATGATACCTTACAAAAGACCTTTTGCGTAAAGCATATTCCAGTTACATTATATTCACATTCATAAGCATATTTTCATAAAACACGGAGTGCAACGTCACATGCCCTTCATTCAGTTCATTTCTACCCCTCCTTCCCACCCCTCTTCTCCACCACTCTCATGAGATCGTCCTTCAGCAAAAGGTTCAATTGCCTCTTCAGGCAGGATCCATAGAAGAAGTCCCACTGGGCCTTGGGGGAAAGGCTTCTACTCTCAGTAACTCCTTATCCCCAAAGCAAAAGGAGGTCTCAGGCCTATTTTAGATCTAAGAGAGTTGAACAAATTCCTGAAGAAAATAAAATTCCGCATGATTACCCTAGCCTTGATTATTCCCTCCCTGGAATAGGGGGACTGGTACATTGCCCTCAATTTAAAGGATGCTTATTTCCATGTCGCAATACGACACAACCTTCGGAAGTTTCTCAGATTTGTGGCAGATGAATCCCACTGTCAGTTCACAGTGCTCCCATTCGGTCTCTCAGCTGGTCCGCGGGTGTGCACAAAGTGCCTGGATGTGGTGGCAGCACATCTATAAAAATCAGAAGTTCATGTGTTCCTGTCCTTGGACTACTGGTTGATGAGAGATTGGTCTGAGGCTCAGGTGTTATCCACTGTATCCTCCATCCTGTCCACATTCGACGTCCTGGAGCTTCTCGTAAATTGGAGCAAGTCAATTCTAAAACCGGTACAGAGGATAGAGTTTATTGGAGCAATCTTAGACTCCACAAAGGCCAAGGCTTTGCTATCGCAATCCAGATTCCAAACAGTACAAGGCTTGGTGCTGCAACTTCTCACCATGGCATGCAGCTGTCTCAGTCTCTTGGGTCACATGGCAGCATTGTACCTATGTGGTTCAACACACCTTATTAATCTTATTAATCTGCAAGCATGGCTAGTATTGGTGTGTGTCCCAAGTCGTCATCATTTGGACAAAGTGGTTTAGATGCCCTTGTCAGTTTTGTCATCTATGGATTGGTGGATGCACCCTCTGAAAGTCTGTGTGGAGATCCCCTTTATCCCCCTGCTACCAACCCTAACTCTAGTCACAGATGCATCAGCCCTGGGCTGGGGGACTCATATGGGGTCCCTGCAGACTCAAGGTCTCTGGTCATCTCAGGATCTAATGGTTTATGACTAGCCCATTCAGCTTTCCTCCCACATATAGTAGGAAAGAACTTGTTAATTCTAACAGACAACTCTACAACTATGTTTTACATAGACAGGAAGGAGCACCTCGGCACAGTTATGCCAGAGGCAATTCACCTTGCTGCTTACCTTCCGAGGAAGCAGAACAAGTTAGTGGATCAACTGACCAGGACCTTCTCTGAGCACCACCAGTGGTCTTTACTCCCAGACATTGCCAAATCCATCTTCCAGCTCTGGGGGACTTCCCAAGTGTACCTATTTGCAACAAAATCCAACAGAAAATGCCATCAGTTTTGTTCCCAGGGCGGGTCTCAGCCCAGGCTTACTGACAAATGCTTTTCTGCTACCCTGGAGCGACACACTCCTTCCCTCCGGTTCCCTGGCTGCTCAGAGTGTTGTTCAAAGTCAAACAAAACCATGACAGGTTTCAGAGTAACAGCCGTGTTAGTCTGAAGTGAGCTGTAGCTCACGAAAGGTCATGCTCAAATAAATTGGTTAGTCTCTAAGGTGCCACAAGTACTCCTAAACAAAACCATGTGCATCTCATCCTTATAGCACCGGCGTGGCCCCAACAACACTGGCACTCAACCCTACTGTCCTTCTCAATCAAGCCTCTGTTGTCTCTCACACTGGAGCCAAACATGGTTTCTCAGGATCATGGCTGCCTGCTCCATCCCAACCTGCGAGCCCTCCAACTGACAGTATGGATGTTTCATGGTTAATACCTTTGGAGAAATCCTGTTCTAAGGATGTTCAGAATGTGTTTCGGAATAGTAGAAAATCCTCAGCTGGGGCACGTACCTGGCTAAATGGAAGTGCTTCTCCATGTGGTCCTGTCAGAAAGGTGTATCCTTACACCATGCACCCTTGAACCTCATACTGGACTATCTCCTGTGTGTAAAACATCAGAGTTCGGCGATTAGCTCTGTAAGACTACATCTGGCAGCTAGTTCAGCCTGCCATACCTCAGTGGATAATAGATCCCTTTTTCTCAAACCTATCATTACCAGATTCCTAAATGGATTGGTCAGATTGTACCCACATGTGCAAGATCCTATACATCCTTGGGATCTGAACTTGGTCCAAGCAAAGTTGATGGGACCACCATTTGAACCACTTGCAACTTGCTCTCTGCTCCACCTCTCTATGAAGGTAGCATTTTTATTTGCCATTACCTCAGTCAGAAGGGTGGGCGAGTTGAGAGCCCTAGAGTCCCCTTATACAGTTTTCCATAAGGATAAAGTTTATCCTTTAGCCCTCACACAAAATTTCACATGATGGTAATCTCTAATTTTCATGTTAACCGGGCAGGCTATTTGCTGACTTTCTTCCAAAACCCCCATGCATATGGAGATGAGGAGAGACTTCATTCACTGCATGTGAAAAGGGCTTTAACTTTCTACCTGGCGCATAGTAAGTCATTTAGATCCTCCATGCAGTTATTTGTTGTGGACAGAGCTAAGGACCAACCAGTTTCCACTCAGATAAATCTCATCTTGATTATCTGGATCTCTTCATGCATTCTTTTATGCTACTAATTGGCTAATATAACCCCGCCAGCTAGAGTACTGGCATATTCTACTTGCTTCCAGGCATCTTCAGTAGCTTTCTTGGTGCACGTACTGATCATAGACATTTGTGAAGTAGCAACTTGGTCATTGGTCCACACTTTTGCTTCTCATTATGCCAGTTCCCATCAGTCTAGGGACGATGCCAATTTCAGGCAGGTTGTCCTATAATCAGTGATGAGCTGCCAAAATCTTAAGAACCGGTTCCCTATAAAAAGTTCTGATTTAAGGGATGTGCCCCGGTATGTATTTTTTGTACCAACAGGGTTACCATTCCCAGGAGGAATTTTTAAATTCCTGGGCAGCGATTTAAGAACCAAAAAGCCTGACCTGTCCAGGAAAATACGGATGTATGTTAACCCTGCCTAAAGTTCTTTTTTAAAAAGATGGGCCTGAGTTAGAAATGAGCTCCGTTTCACATGTGTGGGTCCCCGCCACTCCCTGGGGGTGTGCTAGGGTGACCAGATGTCCCGATTTTATAGGGACAGTCCCGATTTTGGGGTCTTTTTCTTATATAGGCTCCTATTAGTCCCCTGTCCTGATTTTTCACACTTGCTGTCTGGTCACCCTAGGGTGTGCACATGTGTGGGTCCCAGCTGCTCCCTGCCCCCCTCATTGAAGCAGGTGTGCAGGGTTACTGCCCTGGGAACTGCAGGACAGGGGGTGCAGAGCTGGCTGGAGACAGGGGGTGCGGGGCTGGCTGGAGACAGGAGAGTGCAGGGTTGGCTGGAGGCAAGGGGGTGTGGGGTTGGCTGGAGACAGGGCAGGGGCTGACTGGAGGTAGGGGCTGGCTGCAGGCGGGACAGGGGGTGCGGCAGGGGCTGGTTGCAGGCAGGGAGTGCGGGGGTGGCTGGAGGCAGGGGCTGGCTGCGGGCAGGGCAGGGCGTGCCGGGGTGGCTGGAGGCAGGGGCTGGCTGTGGGAAGGGGCTGGCTGCGGGCAGGGCAGGGGGTGCAGCAGGGGCTGGCTGCAGGCAGGGCAGGGGGTGGCTGGAGACAGGGGCTGGCTGCAGGCAGGGGGGTGCGCGGGTGGCTGGAGGCAGGGCAGGGGGTTGCTGGAGACGGGGGATGGCTGCAGGCAGGGGGTGCGGTGGTGGCTGGAGACAGGGGCTGGCTGCAGGCAGGGGGTGGCTGGAGGCAGGGGCTGGCTGCGGGCAGGGTGGTGGGTACTCACGAGGAGAGCAGCAGGACGCAGCCCAGGTCCAGCAGAGCAGCCGGGGACCCACCAGGCAGCATCGGGAGCCCCAGGGCCAGGGGAGCAGCAGCAGCAACAGGGTTTGTTCCCAGGGCCAGGCAGCAGCCCACATGGCTCCCGCAGCGCAGCGCCCCTGGAGGCCGGAGGAGGAATTACATCACTTCCCGGCTGAAGCCTATCAAAGCCTCAGCACCCCCTGCAGGGAAGCAGGTTAACAACCGGTTCTAAAACTGCTTCAGAATTTAACTGGTTCGCGTGAACCGGTGTGAACCGGCTCCAGCTCACCGCTGCCTATAATCACTGTTCAGGTAGACGCTGAGCCCACCTCCATGTTTGTCTGCTTGTAATCACCAACAGTAGAATGGACATGTGCAAAGACTCAAGAAAAACTGGTCACCTAGCTTCCTATAACTGTTGTTCTTTGAGATGTGTTGCACACGTCCATTCCATGATCCATCCTCTTTCCTTTCTCTGTTTGAGTCTATCCAGTACAAAGGAACTGAGAAGGGTTCTGGTCGACTCTGCCCTTTTTTACCAGCACACAGTGATGTGTGGTGACAGAGGGTGCTTGAGCCACCCTGATGGGTACTGTTGAGGAAAAGAGTTGTCTGACAACTGAGCACGAGGCACGCAACTACAGTGGTATGGACGTGTGCAACACAACTCAAAGAACAACAGTTACAGAAAGGTAGGTGACCATTTTTTATTTAACACAAAATGGAACATTTCCAACAGGAGAGAGTGAGAGAAGCCCACCCCAGAATACCTAATAGCGTGCTGGTTTGGACACTCACCTGAGCTGCGAAGGACCAGTGCTCAAGTCTCTGCTCCAAATCAAGCAGTGCTGGAATTTCAGACTGTGCCTCCCACATTCCAGGTGAGCACCCTATCCAATGGGCTGTTGTTGGTCTTGCTGTTTTTTTCACAAGAAAGGGCTGGTTTAGGTTCCCTAGTCTAGGAGAGCATTCACAGCTCAGAATCCCAATCAGAACAAGGCACCTCCCTCCAGTCCATTGGTCAGGAACCTAAATATCTTTGAAGATTTGGTCCTATGCCCTGCCCCTGTTTTGTGCATTTCATTCCTGGTTAACTCAGATGACACCCTGCTCATGTTGGCTTCTGAGACTTCCTTTCTTGGATGCCTAAGTCTGGCCACACAATGCAAGGAGAACCTGGGTGCCTCACTCAGGGCCGAAAATTCCACCAGGCAGCAGAGCACATAGGGGTTAGATATTGCAACACTTAAGTACCTTTGTGAATCTAGCCCTTTATGTATAGCCAGTCACTCAGGCTGCAATCCTGCAAGCTGCTCTGTACATAACATGGGGTCTGCCCATATGGAACTGTCCGCAGCATTATTAGCATCAGTTTCCCCTGTTATTTTTATGGGATTTTCACACAGCAACAGGGAAAAAATAAAATAAGAAGATATGATTGCCCAACCACAAAAAGTAGCAAGGAGAAGGGGTAGTTCATGAAGCTACTTTTGATTTTGATTTTTAATTGTCTAGATTTAAAGTTGATAGTTTTAAGTGCAATGTAAAAAGTAAATAAATAACGTAAATTATTACCATTATTTTTTAAAGTTCTTCCAGTGTGAATAATTGGTTGAGCTTATGAGGCCTTAAACTAAATTCAAAGGCATTTCTCTGCTCATCTGAATCATGATAACATTTGAATACCATGTCCAATCAACTGCAAAATTTCAGGGAATATTCAAGGCATCATTGGGCAGAATTTTATTGATTTAGGGGAAAATTGGGAAAATGGAAGAACTGGGGGCACACAAAGCCCCGACACCTGGTTAGAGCCACCAGTCTCAATCAGATTGATCACAGAATCCAGTTAAGGCAGCCATTACCACCTTCCACAGTAACAATACCCCCATCTCAAATATTGACACCCTGAATGACTTATCTCAGAGCCAGAAACAAAAGAAATGACAGTAGGTGTGATTGGTATACAAACTCCCCACTCGACAACCAGGGGTTAGGGGGCTGCTCTGGGCTTAGCCTGCCAGACCTGCAAGGCATGCACAGGCTGGAGGAGAAGATTAAAAAGGGGACAGAGCAGCTCACTTGTGGGTATACCTGGGAAGAGGACAGACTGTCAACCCTCAGCCCCTGAGCAAAGGACTGACTGAATGTAGGAGCTTCCCAGACAACCACTGCCTGAAGCCATCCCTGAGGGAAATGAGGGCCAGATTCGACACACCCTGAGCGGGATTCATTCCCCTCCGACTCTTATTAATTCAGTTTATTTACATTAATTCCCCTGGCTTTTTGTTCACAGACAACCCTGGAAGGGGAGAGACTTTTAAGTGACCTGGTCAGAGGGCCAAGTCACAGAAAGAGGCATGTTGCTGCAGAAGTGGAGCAGCCATTAGTGTGAGACCTGCAGTGGAGAGAGAGCTGCTATGTCATGCCTGGCCACACCAAAGCACCAGCAGTGAATGGACCCCTTCACGGGGGCACACAAAGCCACTGCCGTAGGGGGAGGGAGTATACAGAGTTCCTGATGTGATTTTATGCTTTGTTGTCTCTGGATCATCTGCCATATGAGATCTTACTCTGACACAAATTTAATTAACAATCTCCAGCTTTATTGTGGCTGCTTACAACATGGCTTCTTCGGCCTCATAGCTTCTCAAACAGTTCCCCAGGAGGTGTCGCTTCCAAACAGTTTGCCACAGAAAATATGCTGCCTGAAAGGGGCTGCTAGCTTTCATATGGTTACATCCGTTCTCTTTAAAAGAAAACTGTCTAGCACCTGACCCCAGCAATAACTGATAATCTAATCTAACATATTCCGTTCTGATTCTGACCATTCTTGCAGTTACTGCATTCATCACCTTACGAGTTTGTTTAGCTATATAACTGTCCAACTGGGAAGTCCATCACACAAAATCCCCCAGATGAGCAGATCTTTTAACAATCTGCCCTCCTCTAGTACAGTGTGATTCACTGGTACCGCCCTGGTGCTGTCTTCCTCCTGTCTGGTCAACTACAGTCTCTAGGCTTGGTGTTCTTGGAGTCTCCACCAAAAGACCCTCTTCTTCCTGTTTTTCCTTTGGTAGGCCTCTGACACTGTCTTCTTCTACAACTCTGGCTTGGGATTCTCCTGCAGTAGAACACTAGCATGTGTTGTCTGTATTGTCCTTAGAGGTTTCTTTTGTTTTCTTGAGGTGCCTACAGTTTCACCTCACTATCTGTCCATTGTTCATGTTGACTAGATGAAACCTCTGGTTTCCTGCTTGCACCACTGTAGCTTTGTGCCAGAACTTATCCTGTTTTGTTAATGGTTGTATATGCTCTTTGTCATCTGACTCCATATCTGGCAGATCTGTTATAGTAAAACACTTGTCTTTTTCTGTTGGTTCCTCCATAGTCTCCAAGGGAAGCACCGCAGTACCCAAGCTCTAACAACCTTCTGATTGTCAGCAAGAGTGTCTTCGTTCTCTGGCTCATCAGTCTTTGGGACGGGTACAATTTAGGTCTTGTGAGGGAGTATTCCTATGATCTAACAGTGCTAAGTATGGGTCAGCATGTGCAGTTTTTGCTTTTCTCAACAGTTACTTTAGCAGTTTTTACTGCTGAATCTACTTTGCTGTTGCTTTGAGGATACCCTGGTGAAGATGTTATGTGATCAAAATCCCAGTTCTTACTGAACTTCTGGAACTCTTCTGAAACAAACTGTGGTCTGTTATCAGAAAACATGATACCTGGTATGTGATTCCATGCAAAGTGTGCTTTTCTTTTCCATATGACTGTTCTGGGTCCTAGTTTGGTAAATAGTCTATCTCCCAGAACCTGGAAAAATAGTCCACAACAATCATGTATCCTTCATCCCCAAAGGTAAAACAAATCCACTCCCATCTTTGCCCATGGTCTTTCTGGAACTTTTTGTTGCCGCAGGGTCTCTTTTGGTTGACAGTCTTCCCAGGATCTGTATACCTCACACTTTTACATGAATATCCATAAATTGCTCATTCATTTCTGGCCAGTATAAAGTCTCTCTTGCTCACTTTAAGCAACCTTCAATTCCCAGATTGTGATGAATGAACTTTGTGCATAATCTCATTCTTTAGAGCTGCTGAAATAACTACTCTTTTTCCCTGAAATATAACATCATCTGTACGCACAATTTGTCTCTCTACTGAAAGAATGGTGTTACCTTTCTAAGTACTTGGTCTTTTGTCTCTCACCATCCTTGTGGGATCATGAGTTTCAATGTCTGCAGCATTCTCTCTTGCACTGTATCTCTATGTATATCTCTCAGCCTTTCTTCCAAGATAGGTAGGGACTGTACCATATTTATTTTCTCCCTCTCAGTCTCTGCAGATCCTTCCTTACTGGGTTCTGGCAAGTATTCATGGGCCTAAGATGTGCACCAAAACCAAGTCTCTGCCTGAGCAATACTTGATCTGTATGTCGTACATCTGAAGTCCTATCATTGTCTGCTGTAAGCACTTTGCTATACTGAGTAATGGCTTTCATCCAAATGCTTTTGAGGGGTGTATGGTCAGATCATATATCCACAGTGCAACTGTAAGTATATTGGTGATTTTTTTCCATTCCAAAGAGTATTGCTAACAACTCTTTTTAAATGTGAGCATAGCCCTTCTCTGTCACAGACAATGCTGTGCTTGTAATCACAACAGTTTGTCCTCCTTGCAACATGGTAGCCTGACACCCCAACTCGGATGCATCACATTGCAGCATCAGGGGTTTCTCTGTATTGTCATATTTCAGAACGAGAGCCTCCTCAATCATGTTTTACTTTCTGGAATGCTTGCTTGTGTTGGTCTGTCCATTCCCATAAGGTGTTTTCGTGTGTCAGCTGTCTCAGGATTTCACAGCTCTCAGACAGATGGTTGAAAAGCTTTATCATATAATTGGCATTGCCAGGAATTTTTGGACTCCTCTAACATTGCTGGATCTTGGTATTTCTCTAATTGCCCTCACTTTCTCAGGGTCTACTTTCAGGCCTTTGGAGGTCAACAAATGTCCAATCTGTGGCACCTTGGTTATGGTCAACCTGAGCTTGCTAAATTCAATTTAATATTCTTTTTTATGTATCGCTTTAAAAATTGTAGTAATTTGTAGTCATGATCTCGTTGCGTTTGTTCTGGATTGTTACCCTCTCCCACTATCAGCACATCTGATATTGTCTGGATTTCCATCAAGTCCTCCAGTGCTTGGGTCAATCTGCTCTGGAATACCTCTGTCTCGGACTGATTCCTACTAGCATCTTTAACCATTGATTGGTATCTCCCAAATGGAGTTGGTTGTAAGTAATAAGAAAAGGAGTACTTGTGGCACCTTAGAGACTAACCAATTTATTTGAGCATAAGCTTTCGTGACCTACAGCTCACTTCATCGGATGCATACTGTGGCCATGCATCCGATGAAGTGAGCTGTAGGTCACGAAAGCTTATGCTCAAATAAATTGGTTAGTCTCTAAGGTGCCACAAGTACTCCTTTTCTTTTTTCAATATCCCAGAATCTCTTCTTTATATTGCATACTGTAAAAAGTCTCGCTTTAGACAGATTTGGTAATATCAGTCCTCAGTTGTCCTCAATAATGGTCCTCAATTGTCGGCAGAGGGAAATGCTCCCATTTCAAGGCTTCATTTAAAGGCTTTGGGTCTATGCATATTTTCAGTTTTCCAGATGGTTTTCTTACCACCATGAGACTGCTTATCCAGTCTGTGTTCTTCTCTACAGGCCGTATGATTCCATAGGCTCAGCAGTTCCTCATTTAATGGCTGTAGTAATGCACTGGGTACTTTTTTCTTTTTGGCAATTTAAATGGCTTCACACCGGTGTCAGTCTCTATTTTATAAAAAGCATCTCACTGTCCATCTCCCTGAAACGCACTTGTATGCGCCCTCTATATCATCTTCTGGGCCCAGGTAATACCATCTAAGGTATCTTCAGTTACCCTGCTATCTGCTTTCATTATGTTCTGGAACTGTACTTTTATCAGGTTCATGGCTTGGGCATCCTTGCTGCCCAGAAGTGGTACTGCTGTCTCACCATCTATGACCACAAAATCCAGTCTGTATTTCTTTTTGTTCCTTGGATTTCTTAATTAAATTTTACATTTTCCCATGGGCTTTAATGTGGTATGATTGTACATTGTTAACAGATGGTTAGTCTCTTCCAATCATATGTCTGGGTTCACCAGATTGATTGGGATAATGTTACAATTTGCACCACAATCTAACTGAAATCGTATCACTTTCTTGCCGAGTAACATGACTGCATACAACCGTTTCTTGTGCTTATTAGGGTCGGTCTCCTTTCACTGTGTTTACCCGCTATTCAGTCACCTACATAACGTCCTCATACTCAATATTGTTCTCTTCAGTTACTCTGTGTGCCTTGGATTTGTTTTTCTTTTCTCTGGACATACACATGGCTGCAAAATGATTAAATTTGTCATAGATGTGGCATTTTTTCTCATATGTCAGACACTTATTTTTGTTCTATTTCACGTTTTCTCCCACAGTATTTGCATGTGCCTGTACTGTTGTCATCTACTGATGTTGTATCTGTTTTTTATTTCTCTTATATACTGTGTGGGCAGTTTCTTCTGCCTGCCTTTCCAGGCTTCTAATCGTCTTTTGTATAGCTCTGCAGCCCTACATATTTCCAAGTTTCTCCCCCAAATCAAGTCAGCTTCCCTCAGCAACTGCTCTCATACTTACGAGTTTCATCCCACATGCTGTCCAATCTCTTATTAATGAATCTTTAATAATTCCAAAATTAGAACTGGCTGCTAGCACTTTTAAATCAATGCTGTACTCATCTATACTCTCTGCAACTGCTTCTTGGGGTTTCAGTGAATATCAAAACAGCCTGTTATTCTTTCTAAGGTGTGTTGAGCTTCGGGAATTTCCATGCACAAAGTCTCACTTATCTTTCTCCCTCTTTCTCCAATACGGTAATAAAACAGTTTCATTTTCACAGCATTCTCTATCTGCCAGAGCAATAATTACATAGAGGTTAAAATTCCTCTTTTCAGCTCTTACATGCCTGAGCTAAATTCTTAGCTTGCAGATTTAATGTCCCTGAAGCATTCAGACACTCCATTTTCTGTTATTAGCCTTTTCTCGTAAGACAAACAATGTACTCACAGAAGTATTCTGCCCTCTGCAGTGAAGCTCTGAATGTTCTCTCCTGCCGTTTCAGATTTAATTACCACTGCCACCATGTTTTATGCTTTGTGTCTGGTTCATTTGCATTTTAAGATCTCACTCTGTCACAAGGTTAATTTACAAACTCCAGCTTTATTGTGGCTGCTTACATCATGGCTTCTTCTGCTTCATGGCTTCTCAGACAGTTTCCTAGGAGGTGTTGCTTTCAAACAGTTTCCCCCAAGAAACAGTATGCTGCCTGAAAGTGTCTGCTGGCACTTGCATATTGTTACAGAGGGAAAGGGTGGCATATAGAGTCCTGGGAATCAGGGGAACACACAGAACCCCTGGCATGGAGGATTCTAGTTGGTGGCAGTTGGGATGGTGTTTTGTAATATAGACAGCTGACCAGTAGCAACAGAACTGAGACAATTAATTTATTTCACATAAGTCACCAGTCTTCAGAAACTCAATTTCAAATCCGTTTGTTTTAACAGTTAAGGATAATGAGATCCTGTGGCTCCATGGGTTTCAGCTCACTGAATTTCCATCTTTTGAAAATGTGGCTCTTAATAGTATGAATCTTTTTATCAAGAGGTGCTTAGCCATCTCAAAGGAAATTTGATGTCAATTGATACTTTCAAAAAAATTATTTTGACACCACAGCACATCTATAACTTCTTTAGACCCATTACACTGTGAATGGAAGCATTACCACTTGTCCGTCTGTGTTGATATAATAGTTGGTTTGCCCCTTTGCAGATATGAGATATAATTAAGGTTTCATAATGGAAGATTTGACAGGGCATAACCTATCCCCTGCCTCATAATTTGTAATAGTCTAAAGGTCTCTGATATATTACCTTCATTTGTTACCCTTGTCACCAGGGAGTTATTTATATATAAAACCTTTTTTATACAGAATACTTCATGCTGCCCTGTTAAAGATTCTTCCTGCAGGAAGAGATGTTGCAACTACCAGGTCAAGAGTTTCTTTTGCCACCACCTTACAACTATCAATCTGTGAACCTGTCTACACTACTGCAGAATTACATAGCAAGAAACCCATCTGGTCCTTGTGAGCAGGGACAATAGGTATGTTTATACTTCGCTTAGGAGCTGTAGAGGGCTGAAGCCTGAAGCTAAGTTCCTGCAGAGCTCTTAAACTCTACAAGAGTGGAATTCCTCTTCAGTTCCACACTTGGGTTTTGCCTGCACTTGCATTTTTACAGGATAGCTCCCACCAGTGCCCTACCACCAATGCAGCTCTACTAATAAAACCAGTGGTGGGTGCCCTAGTATAGGCAGAGCTCAGGTGCTTTTACACTGTGCCATCTGGTCCTGCTTCAAGCAGGACTAATTGACATAGTGTTAATGCGTGTGTCAGCCAACAGCCCATCACACTAGTGCTTTCAGTGTTACTAACACCAGTGGAGCTGAAGCATTGTTAACAATGCTGGGAGATTTTTAGAAAATCTTAGTGTGGACAGGGCCTCTGTGAAGAAGTCAATATCCCCTCCCACAGCAGAGGGCTGGAAAAGCTGGAGATCAGTTTGCAGGCTATTATGATATCATTGTCCTACTCTATTTCTCAAGTCCTCCAGAGAGTTCTCCATCAAAAATCAGTGACGTCATTGATATTGCTATTATTTTTAAGCTTAAAAATCAGTAGAATCCCTCAGTCTCTTTTTTAATTACATGGCCTTTATACATAATACAACAATAAAATGTGAAAGCAAAAAAAGTCTAGTGCACCATCAAAGTTGAAATATAGTTTCCATTCTAAACTCTGTTTGTTAATTTGATTTTTATTGCTGTAGAATAGTACAGTATACAGGCTCAGAGATACATTACAAAATACAGGGTGGAAAGCTTCGCTCTTCATTACTACAAAATAAGGGAAAAGGTTTTTGACTTATATTTTTAAAAATCATTAGGCACAGTAGTCAATACTTTATTCGATTCCCCCCCCCCGCCCCCGGCAAAATTGGACAGGAGTGAGAGGAGCTGGGAAAAGAGGAGACAGGAGAGGATCAATGTGTCAGATTTAATCTTAGGATATCCTTTCAAGAAACAGTCTCATTTACAATGTGTGTGTGTGTCAGGGGAGTGGGAGGTTGTTCCTAAAGTGGTCCGTGGAGAACACCATTTATGTGCAAACTTCGGTCCCAACCCTGGAGTTTACAATACATGTGTAGGCCTACCCATGTGTTGTAAGCAGCAGGGTCAGGGGCTTATGTGTGAAATTCACCCATTGTGCAGAGGCCAGTGTAAGGCCTCCACACTTTGTAAGCCCTGCGTAGAGGATGTGCAGGGGGCCTGCAGCAGAGTGGCTGCACTCCCACATTTACTGTAGAGAAGACCTCTCTCCTGGTTCAGCTCCAGGAGACACAGAAGGCCGTGAAAGATGACAGCCAGGTGAAGAAGCACAGAGGAAACATGTGCATGCAGATCTGGTGTTCAAGACACCCCCTCACTGGTGCTGCTATTCTAACCTGTAGTTTGTCAGAAAGGTGGGAGAGCACTACACATCACTGCAGATCTATGTCCTGGCGCTGGGATCAACTTAATCTCTAGTGCCTTCTACCTGCATAGACACTGATTCCTTAGGCATTATGTGGGTGGATTTCACCTTTTCAGAGAATGCTACTAAATAATCATTATTTACACAGATATACATCACTGTGCACATTTGCTTAGTGACACAAGGTTCCAAGCTAGTTGAACCTATTCCAACAGAAAGGGAAAGTCAGGATTTTTCAACCTCCTGCAAATAACTGTTCAAAAACCCAGCAGCAAGAGTTGAGTTAACATCCAGTTATGTCTGTTGTACCCCAAGACAAAATTCCAGGATACCGGGAACCAAAAGGCCAGTGATTTTTCTCACTGTCAGTCAGAAGATGAAACTACAGTTGAGATTGTCTTGGTACAGTATAAGCATAATACGCAAAGCCACAGTCCCTATGGAGCACCTCCAACAGTTGTGAGAGGAGAGATTTGCCATCTTGCTTAATTCCACTGCTGTCCAGTACCAGTGTGTTACAATCTGGGAACTTGCAAACTGATCTGTAGAGGCTCATATGGGCTCTGCGCAGGCATAACGGTCCACCCACACAGGTCTGATTGCAAATCTAATGCATCTGAGGGAATTGGCTGATGTGATTGCAGATCCATTAGCCATTATCTTTGAAAACTCGTGGAGATTGGGGGAGGTCCCAGACAACTGGAAAAAGGCAAATATAGTGCCCATCTTTAAAAATGGGAAGAAGAAGAACCCTGGGAACTACAGACCGGTCAGCCTCACCTCAGTCCCTGGAAAAATCATGGAGCAGGTCCTCAAGGAAACCATTTTGAAGCACTTGGAGGAGACGAAAGTGACCTGGAACAGTCAACATGGATTCACCAAGGGGAAGTCATGCCTGACCAACCTGATTGCCTTCTATGATGAGATAACTGGCGCTGTGGATATGGAGAAAGCAGTGGACGCGATATATCTTGACTTTAGCAAAGCTTTTGATACAGTATCCCACAGTATTCTTGCCAGCAAGTATGGATTGGATGAATGGACTATAAGGTGGATAGAAAGCTGCCTAGATTGTCGGGCTTAATGGGTAGTGATCAATGGCTCAATGTCTAGTTGGCAGCCAGTATCAAGTGGAGTACCACAGGGCTCGGTCCTGGGGTCAGTTTTGTTCAACATCTTTATTAATGATCTGGATGATGGGATGGATTGCACCCTCAGCAAGTTAGCAGATGACACTAAGCTGTGAGGAGAGGTAGATACACTGGAGGGTAGGGATAGGATCCAGAGTGTCCTAGACAAATTGGAGGATTGGGCCAAAAGAAATCTGATGAGGTTCAACAAGGACAAGTGCAGAGTCCTGCACTTAGAACAGAAGAATCCCATGCACCGCTACAGGCTGGGGACCGATGGGCTAAGTAGCAGTTCTGTAGAAAAGGACCTAGGGATTAAAGTGGATGAGAAGCTGGATATGAGTCAGCAGTGTGCCCTTGTTGCCAAGCAGGCTAACGGCATATTGGGCTGCATTAGTAGGAGCATTGCCAGCAGATCGAGGGACGAGATTATTCCACTCTATTCAGCACTGGTGAGGCCACATCTGGAGTATTGCATCCAGTTTTGGGCCCCCCACTACAGAAAGGATGTGGACAAGTTGGAGAGAGCCCAGTGGAGGGCAACGAAAATGATCAGGGGGCTGGGGCACATGACTTACGAGGAGAGGCTGAGGGAACTGGGCTTATTTAGTCTGCAGAAGAGTGAGGGGGATTTGATAGCAGCCTTCAACTATCTAAAGGGGGGTTCCAAAGAGGATGGAGCTTGGTTGTTCTCAGTGGTGGCAGGTGACAGAACAAGGAGCAATGGTCTCAAGTTGCAGTGGAGGAGGTCTAGGTTGGATATTAGGAAATACTTTCACTAGGAGGGTGGTGAAGCACTGGAATGGGTTACCTAGGGAGGTGGTGGAATCTCCACCCTTAGAGGTTTTTAAGGTCAGGCTTGACAAAGCCCTGGCTGGGATGATTTAGTTGGGGATTGGTCCTGCTTTGAGCAGGGGAGTGGACTAGATGACCTCCTGAGGTCTCTTCCAACCCTAATCTATGATTCTATGATTCCAAGTTTAGAGCCTTATATTGCAGCCATAGGCGCTGATTCTGTGGGTGCTCTGGGGCTTGAGCACCCACAGGGAAAAATTAGCTGGTGCTCCGCACAACTGGCAGCCAAGCTCTCCTCTCCTTGCCTCTTGTTCAATCCACCCCCACCCCAGTGCGCCATGTCCCTGCTCCTACCCCTCCCTCCCAGCACTTCCCGCTGCCTAATAGCTGTTTGGCGGTGCTTAGGACTTTCCGGGAGGGAGGGGGAGGAGCAGGGACGTGGCACGCTCAGGGGAGGACACAGAGAAGAGGCAGGGCAGGGGCGGGGAATTGGGGGAAGGGGGTGGAGGAGGGCAGTGCAGGGGTGGGAAGAGGTGGGGCAGGGGAGGGGTGGCGGGTGTCAAGCACCCACTGGGCAGAGGGGAACTCGGCACCTATGATTGCAGCTCTAATAAGTGCAGTGAAACAGTATATCACGTGTAATATGTATTATATCTCTAGTGTGAAAGGGTGTGAAAACTCCTTTCTCATTTAGCCCTTATCCAATACCTACTGGAGTTAATGGGACTATCTCCAGAGATTTCAGGGTACTGGGTCAGGCCCTTAATCATGAACA